ACATCTAAGCTGAGGCATCCAGTTGTTTTCAGCAACCTAGAGGACTTATCCTGCAGCAAAAGAACACAGAAACAATTCCCAACCAGATACTACTTTTTTTATTTCCAAGCATCTTGAAATCTTTAAGTGAACTTCATAAGTTTGCAAGTGTTCTGATGGTTTAAAAAAAAACAAGTAGTTGTTGACAAAGGCATTGAAAAACGAAGAATTTAAATTACATGATTCCATTTAAAATCCTCATGTTTACTCCATCAGGCAGGATTGAAGGATTAGAACCCAGGGGTGGTGACTCTGGGCATTTTACAAAGTGCTTCTACCTCCTTAGAAGCCGCGGTCTTTCCAGCGGCTCTCCTATGTACCTTTTATCAAAATGATCCGAGTTCCAAATTTCTCAGATAAAACTGCATCTATGCGACGAGCAGCCATTCCAAAGTTGACTGGCATGTGTTCTCCAATTTCAATTCCAAAGACACAGCAGAGTAACATTTTTCTTTATTAAAGGCACCCAAGTGACTCCATTTAAGTTGCACCCTTCCTGCTGGAGAATGAGTTGGATCTCACCCTTCTGCAGTTTCCTATAAAATTTCCTATTTGATAAAATGCATACATATTATATGACCTATGTTCTGATGATTTTTCTTTATCAGCATGATGGAATTTGTACTGTCAGAGCACTCTGGTGATTACATTTAGGTAAAACGGAAATCTGCTACTTTATGAGTCAGTGAAATGTCCACCAAATGGTTTAAAACACTGATGTACATGTACTCTAAAACTTACTAAATAAATAATGGGCCAAAAGATGCTGGTATTTTTTCTCGAAAGTTTCAAGAAATGTAGGTTGCCAGATTAAACTCAGACCTAACATGGGCACGTGAACATGTACACACATCTACACATATGAAATTTTCAACTCAATAATGACTGAGCCCAAAATGAAATTGAATTTATGACCTAGATTCCCTTAGGTCCTGCCCAGCATCTGCTTATGCATCAAGTTTTGTTCATTCCATCTTCCAATCTAACAAGGACTGGGAGCCTAATGCGCCATATGTGAGCTATGATAAATATACGGTAAATATTCATTTTCCACCACACATAATATAACTTCATTAATTCAACGGTGCCTGTTAGTCATTTAACACAGATTCTTTAAAAGAGTTCATCAGTGCATATTGTGGTTCAAGGCAAATGAAAAGTCACAAATTCTTGCATTCCCTATCAGATGTGTAAAGCAAATAACACATAAAACTAAAAGGTGTAGCATTTTGTTGACTATATATCTTTTCTCTTTAATGTTAACCTGTTGCAGTATAGTTGTTGGAAACATGCATTTGCTACTAATTCAAAGCACCCTGAGCACTCCTAATTCCCTTAACACTAAATTTTCTAGAATTCCAGATTCAGAATGGCCTCCGGGAAGAATAGTTTATCTTTAAATGATGCATTTACCCTATATGATCCAAAGATCAGTGCAGAATTTACTAATTATTAGCTAATAATTAATGTAATATAGTCAAAAATTTTCATGCATCACTCAGTAAGAGCACAAGTAATTTGCATGTGTTTACGTTCACTTCCTATTCAAAGAATGTATTTAGAGTCTCCACCCATCATAGTCTCCAGTGAGAATTAAAAAGGGTCACAAGCCCACGCTTGACAAATGATACAACGATGTGCTAAAATCACTATGATTTTATTGATTTTACCTCAAGGGCTAAAATGGCTACTTGATTAGGAAGTGATTAAATAACCAAAGGAAAGACATTTTGCAGGGCTATTACAGAGGTAAATCTGAGTCTTTTAAGAGTGGATGAGAATGACCTTCCACTTGAAGAGTTCCTGACTTGAGGCGAGAACTCTCCCTGAATATTCCTATCCTCTCAGCTCCTGCCTTGGAGGGCTTTACTTGATAATGGCCAAGTGAAGAGGCTGGGGTGCAAAGTTCCATATGCCTTAGCCCAAACTGTTTATTCAACTGGAAAGATGATTTTGCATCCACTGTTACACACAAAAAAATCAGAAATAATCATGGGAAGAAAAGCAAACTCTTAGAAGGAACATTTAACATTCACCAAAGTGAAAGACTGGCATGGTTGAAACCTCAGTTGTAAAACCATTGCCGATAGCCCTGATCCAGTGCCAATTATTTATCCTTTAACCTAGACGTTTGAAATAGGTGGAGACCAAACTAGAAAATGTCTTGAAAAGTTGCTGTTCATATTCTATCCCTAAGATTCCTGAATTTCAAATTTAAAGAGTATGACACCTAATCAACTGCAATAGAGTTTGGCGTTCTGGCTTGATTCTTGGATGAATTGCCAATTCTTAAATCATTAATCTGGTTTGGTAAGCAACTCTCCCAACTCTTCTAGCTAATGGAGACATCACTGACATCGATTACAAGTCACTGGAAGCTTTCAGGTTGAAACATGGTGCAGCAGCTCTTTCCACTAAATTGAACTTCCTCAGCAGAGATCTTCCCATTGAGACACAAGTTTCACCTTAAGGCACTAATAATAATGGGTATGGAAACAGCTGAGAATAAGTCAGATCTTTCCAGAAATAGAAGACATTTCAAAAACACAAGTCAGTCACCTATCTGGCCTACTTCGACATCTACAGAGGATAGAGAATTAAATTTTCACGGATAGCTGATTCAGCTCTTTACTCTTCTCTCAAACTGATTTACATGTCTCAGATTTATTTTTCCTCAAGAGGCAGTGGAGAAAGGTAGCAAGGAATTGGAAAACACAAACAAGTATGCAAATCTAATTTGTAGCCTAGTCTCATGATTAATTCCATGAAGACAGCATGGAGTGCTCAAACCTAAGGTTTTTAAGTACTTTAAAATATTACTAAGACCACATACCCAATGGTTAGAATTGGGACAAGGTGCTCTTTTCTATTGTTCTGAGGGGAAAAAAATCATAATTTTTTAAGACCACGTAAATAAAATTTGTTAATAGCAAATTTTGGAGGAAAACATCTACTCCGTGAAACCTCAGTTTCAGCAGGATTCTCCTACACCTTCCAATGCATTCAATTTTGCCACAAGACAGAACTAAGTAAACATAGGGCTCAAGACAGTTAGGTCAGGAGACAAATGCCAGTAAATGAGTGATTGTGGAGGTAGGCATAGTGAGACAGGATTTACCTAAAGGAAAACCACTCCCTGCGTGTGTGCGTGCACACACACACACACACACACAATCTGTGCACTCATAGTGATTTAAAAAGCATGGGCGTGGGAAGGCTCAATACTGTTCGACTCGAGCTCAGATATCTCCGTTAGCATTTCTACATAGGAAAGGGTCTGACACAGGTTACACACCCACAAACACTCATTTGTGAGAGGCCAGCCTGGCTCGCAAAGACTCCGAAACAGACCCAGAGAATCCTTTGTAGAGCTGCTGGTTTTACAGGAATGATTAGTATCTGCAGGATTGCACTTCCTCTTGATTTGCAGGATTTTTATCTTGCATTTCCTTCCATAAATATTCCCTTTGCAAGAGCATTAAATCAAGTCCTGAAGGGACTAATCTTGAGTCCTCAATGGGTAAGACTCAGAACAGGAACTGCAGGAAAACAAAAATTGCAGCAACATGGCCCCTTTGGGGTTGGGGTGAAGTATTTCTGGATTTAAACAGTCTTGGGGCAAAAAAAAGAGAGCAGAGTTCTGGGCGGAGGTGGAGATGGAAATGTGGGCAAGTCCTGAAATCAATATAAACAAAAGAAATGAGCATAACTTAAAGGGGTTTCAACTAAGTATCACTGCAACTGGGTTTGTTGTCCGCAGAAATTCTGCTCTGATAGGTGGAACTGAAAGATAATAATTGGTGTATCTCTTCTGAGACAGGCTCAGCTGGGAGTGATGTGGGAGGTACTGGGGGAGGGGTGGTGGTGGTGGTAAAGACAAAGGCCTGAAGGCTCAGGTATCGCTCCTAAGGTTTCTGCTTGCCTGATTTCGAAGGAAAGGGTGCTAGAGCAAACGGATCCATGGCTGGCAGCTCCGTAGTCCTGGAGGAAAGGGATGTGATGGAAACAGATCCAGCTATCGACTGTTTGTTGGTCTGTGAAACAATTTTGTAGGCAGCGATGGGCTGGGCTTCTGGACTTGACTCATCTTCTGGGCTATAGTGACGGGAATATTTGGATAAAGACTGGGGGCGGAATGGTTTGCCCGCCACGGGGCCTGAGACAGCTTCTTTCTGGGGCTGAGGTCCTTTGTTTCTGTCATTAGGATGGCCCCCAGATTCCAGGGAGGATCCCCTGGGAGAGATGCTGTCAGGATGGTCTGCTGCTTGTGCAGAATGGGAGGGGGGGTTAGACTGCAGGACGAAAGCAGCCATGGAGTACTGAGCTCGGATGGGGGCATACACTGCTCTCTCAAGGCCTGGGAGCAGAGGGACCTCATCAGTCTGACTGAGGAGACTGGCCTGCCCAGGCAACTCCTGGGAGGCGCTCTGGGCAACTGGTAACTCCTCCATGCTCTTCTTCTTGGTAAAAGGAGCTCTCAAGAACACGTCCGCCTCCTCTGGCTGGGAAGGAGCCACACTGCCCTTGGAGGCAAATGGGGCTTTGGAGAAAATATCCATGTCATCAGCTGGAACCCTTGAGCTCCTGAAGGGGGCTGTGGCAAAAACATCCGGCTCCCCGAGACCGTCCATGGTTGGTTGTGGGAGGGCTTGGAACTGGTTCTTTCTGCCACCCTGGCCCGCCTTTGCTTGCTCAGTAGAGACCTCTGGCTGAGCGAATGGAATAGCTCCTCCCAGCTTCCCCTGTGGAGGCTTGCAGCTCTCATCCTCTTCTTCAGACTCCATGAGGAGTGGTCGAGACCCACTGCAGTCCAGCATGTCCCCCTCGAGATCAGTCCCTTCCTCTTCACTGCTGTGGAATGAACTGTTGCTTGAAGGGCCATCTCGGGCCAAGTAGTCAGATTCTAAATTGTTCTGCGTTTTCGTGCCAGGTACTCTTGAGGGGTCTGGATACAGGGGAAGGCCTTTAACACTGGCTGAATCTTTAAAGTGCTCTACAGTTATTACAGGACAGGGATTGGGCTCTCTCTGGAGACCTAGAAAAGCAAAAAATGCAGAATTAATGCATAGATCAGTTCAACTCTCCTCGGAACATTTAAAATGGTCAACCCGCGGCGGAAACATTGTGGGGCCAAATAATAAAGGTTGAAATGGAAAAGGAAAAACAGAAAAATAAAAGTCAGGCAAGGAAACGGCACACAAACTGGAACACAAGCAGTCACTGTCGCACATTTTGGAACATGACAGGCACAGTGCACAGGAAAGGGGATGGCGATGTCAGGCACACAGACACTCAGCATAACCACACAACGCTCTGACTTGCGGGGCCGGGCACTGCTTCCTGCTCTACCTGGCACTGGCTCAGGGTGGGATGGAAACAAACCCAGTCGCTCATCTCCACATACACCGTGGCAGTTCTGGATTACGCAGAAAACTGTCTGGGGACAAATGCAATTCAGTAGCGGACGTGTGGTCATCTGCTCCACACTGCCTGTATCTGAGGACAGACTCTCCATCCCAAACCCCCCTGCCCTGCCCCCCGGAAGAGCAGCAGAGCACAGCTGCTTGATAAATGCAAGATTTTCATCATGAGCACTACTCAAAGAGCACAAGAGTGCCCCAAATGCCAATACTGAAGGCGCTTTCTAAGGGGAGGAGACATAGTCAAAATCATATTAAATAAATCTCCTTCAGCTGGAGTCGCTGCGGAATTTTGTTTTCAATCTCCTAAGCTAGCAAAGATCTCCTCTGCTTAAATGAATCTATCATAAAGTTCTTTAAGCAGAAGGAGTAAAACACATGGGTAATTGCAGAAATATTTGCGAACTCTAATATACTAGTCTACTTCTAGCTAGATAGATGTGCCTCAGGGTGCTCTGGCTTTTAAAATCAAATAGACAATTATCAGAATGCAAGAGAGCTTACCTTCCAAGAAATATTAGCAGGTTAGAAGTATGTCATTGGGCACATGTTAGCAAGAGGGCAGGAAAAAGGCATATGTAACTAAGTAAGAAGAATCCAGAGAAAGGGCGGTTGGGGGTAAAGAGATCATTTCATCATGGGTTTCCCAACCCACTGGGCATTCGGTACAATGCTTTGGATTCCGTAGATGACTTGGAACCTCTGTACTGAGGTAATTCCATCAACCCCTCCCCATGTTACCCTCTCCTTCCAGGCAAATCATTAGCTAGTAGAAACTTCTGCTAACAATTATCCCCTGCTAGGGTTTCTGCTTGAATTAAGCACACAGAACACATCAGAAGCGGCATCAAAATCAGTTTATTGGGAAACCAGTCACTTAAGAGACATTACATTGTAAAGAGATGTAGAGAGAGATCGGAACATTTTTAGAAGATACTGTACAAAAATACTAGGGTTCTCGGAATTCTAGAACTTTTTAGCAGTGCTTCTTTCTAAACAGCTCTGATCTTAAATACTGTTTTCAGAAACAAAAAAAAAGGTGGGTCTCCCCCTCATTTTCCGAGTTTGAATGCATTCAGTGAATTTCCAATTAGGAGTCTTTAAGTGAAATTCTGTACTGGTGCCAAACAGCTTTCTGAGTAGTGTTTGAAGAGTATGATTCTGAAAAGCATACATTTTTTCTTTGCGTTGCAGCTTTAGTATGCGCACCCACGTGGTGATATGAAAGCGTTAGTCAGCTGATAGGAAGCAAATGGAACATCTTCTCTCTTTGCAGGATATGTGGAGAGACATAATCCTAACCTCTCAGGCAAGTATATTGATATTAGTTCGGTCACTGTGATTCTTAGGTGGTGATTTCTGGGAGGAAATCCAAATGAGAGGGGGCAAAGAGGCTTTCCAAAACAAGATTTGCCAAGCAAAGGGGCATGGAAGCTCCTCTCCCCCAAGACTCCTTGAACCACTTTCTAACATCAGCTAGACAAAGTTTTCAGTTGCCAAAACCAAGGCACAATTTCTCATCTTCCAAAACTACCCCAAAAGCTGGCGTTCTCAAGCTGGTTCTGTAGGGGAGCAAAGTATCTTTTAGGAGAAAAATGGTAAATTTAGTCAAGTCAATGACCAATTCTGACATCATACCAATCAATAAGGAAAACCAAACACGAGTTTGACTGGAATTAGTGTTTTTGGGAAATTTAAATTGAATTCTGTCAGATCTGCTTGTGTGCAGAGAACGCCAACAAGCAGCTACCTATAGAACCAGGGGTGCTCTGGATGCCTACAGTGTTGGATTACACTTTGAGAACTATCAAATACCAGGTAGAGGAGACCATATTCAGAGCTGGACGGGATAGAAGAGCATGCTTAACCTATCCAAATTACTTTAAACAGTGGGTTCTTGGTCAACTGGAAGCCTGTCAAATTAGCATATTCTGGGACCTTGATATTACATAATAGGAAAATCATACCTAAAATTTCAAGAACTTTCAAAAACTCACAAGCCCAGTCACAAAAACTCTGTGACATTGACTTTGAAGGGGAAACTTGTTTCCTGTTCTTCAAAACAACGCCAGACATGTTTCTATTTTTCAGCAGGAATCTGCTTTCTAGGGTTGGAAAACCACAGTTAAAGGAATTTCCTGAGAAGGCCAGGTCTCTTAACCTCTTCACTCTTTTTCAAGAAGGTGTAGTATGACTACAGCAGACAGCAAGCACCCTTTGCAGCTCTCCCAAGCTGGGCATTCTGGAGACCATAGAATGCCGGTGGGTTTGGGGAAACACAGACATCCATACGCCCTCAGCACGAGACACAAAGTCGTCAAGAGAAGGAGAGATTCTAAATAACTGTAAGCAGAAGATGGCCATTAAATCAAGTTGGCAGTTAGAGGTCCTTTCTGGAATGTGAGTATGTATGTTCTTGTAGGGAAAGCATGTGTTTTCAAGGTGAACAATCCTTGTATAGGAAAATGGCCTTGCACTATTAGGAGAACAGTCTGGCTACTAGCAAAGAAGGATCTGGACTAATTTAACCTCATGTCTTGGCCCCATTCCTCTGGCAACCAACAGCATGCACAGCAGACACCCCGTGACCAGAGAGCACAATAAAGCCAACCAGTTGTTCGTGAGGAGTGGAGGCCTTCAATCCAGGACCTGGTCTCATAGGCTACACAAGGGTCTTCCTTATCATGAAGCCTAAAGTAGGGCATTTTGCTCTGGTCCCCTCAAACTGGGTTAGGTCTCTTTTCATTTTGGTTTAGCCCCATTAAATTAAGTAAGAAGGCAAGACGTGCTTCTTTTTCTTGCTCTCATGTAGGACTGTGTGCAAGGTTACAGGTGAGCACACTTTTTGAGACTTCTACGAGGGGTAACTCCATTTTAGTCTATTTTGAGGCTCCAGATTTATGGAGATTTCAGTAAGAGTTCATACGCTTGACAGAGTAGGAGTCCCCAAAACTCTCTGATGACTTGACAACTCTCCTCACTAACTGCCTATTAACTTTCCAAAGCAACCGTAAGGGCTGAATGATTTGGGGTAGGTTTACCCTGGGGATTTTATCTGATGAACATAACGAGGGGGTTCATCAGAGTGCATTCAGAAAAATCAGAATCTGAAGACTTAAATTCCAGGCTGGATATTCTTTAGTGCAATACATCATGCACCGTCAGAATTTTACTTTCCCCCATACTGTAAACTGAAATAACAGTTACAAGCAGTATCGAAGACATAATTCTTGCCAAAAACTGAAAATGAAGACTTGGAGTCCTGAGAAACCTTCCCATACATTTAGCAAATAGAAAGCAAACTATCCCTTCACAAGAAGGTCAGAAATGCAGCACCAACTGAAATTCACACTCTTGGAGCCAAATCAGGGAATCAAGAGATGTACATCAAATTAATAATTTCCATGACTTTCCCCAGCTTAGATAATAAAATTAAGGGTTTGGGTCTACCCTATGCTGTGCAGTGGCATTAACACCCATGACTGGGGAATAGGGATTTGGTGGGGAGCCAATGCAGGCCAGTGATGCTGTGCCTCTCAAGCCAATGGAGCAATTAAATGAGAGAGATTTGTCCCTGGGCATAAAACTGCTGGTGCCAACATCAAATGTTTGATTAAACTGGCCTGGGTATATTAAAGTTTAAATCTGTGCTCCATTGCAAACCCGAGTCTAGTCTATCAGATGCAGGCTCACAGGGGTTTTCTTCTCCTTGATTGCAAAGGGAAACCTCAAAAGCCATGACTCAGTAAAAATCCTCAGCATGTGTCTGCACTTTCCTTGTGCGCAGGTACTTACTGTCACTCAACAGTGGGTTTAAGTCCTTTTAGCACAAGTGGGTTTTCGGATCAGGAAAGCGGCAGCTACTGTAAGTTATTTACATCTGTGAACATCAGGCTCCTGTTTGAACAGATAAGTCTTTATTCCCCTGTATGTTTACATAATAAATTGTTTACAGACTTTTTTTTTAATACAATACTGGCATAGCAATGTTTAAATTTCATATTTTTACTGTATAAGGTAGCTTCGTGTACCTCTGTTTGCTTTGTCTTCTTGGGGAGGACATGATAAAGACCTGTGGTAAATATACATCCATGTGACAAGGGGCTGTGCAATAGGGTGGAGTAGAATACTCACAGGAAAAAGAGTAAAGTCAGGACACTACATCAAAGTGGGAACCAAGACAGTGTCTTCCATTCAAGTAACCACCACCATTTGGTAACTTGGCATAAGTTAGCATTACCCAAAGAACCTCCCTCCTCCACCTTAGTGACCGGAAACCCAGGATAAACAAAGTAGTATCTTGTTACAGATTATTTGAAACGGAGGCCATCTGGGATTCATTTTGACTCAAGAAACCCAAGTACATCCAACTTCAGGAACATGACTAGTGTGGAAAACGAAAAGATAACTTTGTGTTGGTAAAATTATAGTCTCTAGAGAGGAATAAAAGATAGCTTTGTATTATCTGGAGTGTTTCTGTAAAGATTTCATTTTAAATATCCCTCTGATAGTTTCTCTGTTCTGCCCGGCAGCCTCTAATTTGCTTAATTTTGTACTTTGGGCAATCCTGTCATTTTTGTCCCTAAACTCTAAGTTAGTGGCTACATGGTCCTGGTAATGTTACAGCCAGAGAAAGTTAAAGACTCCTGGAAATTGAGACAAACATCATCATGGGAGACTTTACTTTGGCCCAAGGTATCTACAGTGTGCATTTATTCAGCTAAACTCAGATCCCTCTACACTTCTGGGCTGAGGTCAACCCCAAAGGTCTTCTCCTTCCTCTAAAATTGCTGAAGGCAGACTGTTCCTGACCTGGGGAAAACTGTGTTAGTTCGAATCAAAATGATCAATTACCTGCCAGGAGAGCAGGGGAAAAAAGTATTATAAACAAAACTAAAATTTCATCTTGAGAAAAACAGGTTCTTCTTGAGTTTGTTCCCCTATAATTATTAGCAATCCAAGTTCTATAATTCTGATTGAAGAAGAGCCAAGTCCAGTATCAAATGACACTGGACACAGCGACAACTTCTTTCAGAGATTATTTTAAAATCTGCCTCTTTCCATTTTCTAAACTACCAAAAACAGGTGAAATTATGGAAGTTCCCTTATTCAGAATAGTAAGGAAATTAAGACTGATTGTTGTCACTTTCTATTATAAGTTCCTCTCTGGGAATTTTCTGTGGATTATTCCTTTTACTGTCTTTAATAGTAACCATGCTTCATGGGGGGGGGTGATTTCCCTTTTTGGAAACAGCGAAATGGGACTCAGAACCAGGAGTCATGGGAAAAGATCAAGAAAGAGAACATAATTCCAGGTACTGAAAGCAATACTAATTAGATAATAATTCAACGGATCTTCTTACACCTGATTACTGTCCTTGATGGTATTTCTAAGGAGGGGGGGTAGTTTCAGAATTAACTTAAGTGAAGGCAGCATCACTAGAGTAAGTATTAGCTCCCCAAGTAAAACCAGATGCCTTTGAAGGGAACAACACTCAATGAGCGGCCAAAATTCTGATATGTCTGCTAAAGAACTCATTATGATCGTAGTTAGAAGTGTCCATTTAAACCTTATCTCCTCTGAGGCCTATGTCTTTAAAAATACTGGGACTTAAATTTGGTGATCTAGTTATTTGAATGCTGTAAGGGAAAAAAAAATTGTGATGTGTTCTGGTATAGTTACTACTCTTGCACAGTTGGATTAAAGCAAATCAGAAACATATGCTTATAGTATCTGCCCATTTTTAAGTGCCAGATCACTGATTATATATTTTAAAAGAATTGAAGTCTTCTGATACTGTTTTGTTAGAATAGGTAGGGCCATTTAAAAAAGAAAAAACGGTATCTAGATATTTGAAAGAAAAATCTATGTCCAAAACTGTCCAATAATGTAGGCTTCTCTTCAGATAACCAAGAAAGAGCCACCCAAGTTAGTAAAGGCCCATTACAATTCTCTAAAATGTAAATACTGTTCCAGTAACAGAAGATAGCCGAAGAACATCAGGATTATACAGATCCTTCATAGTCCTTCCAAAGCACAATAATATGTACGTAGAACTCTAGAATTCCATAAGCTTAAAGACCATCTAGTCTGAACTCATCATTGTTATACATAAGGAACAACCGCTCTTAGAAGGGAAGCGCCTGCGGATGGCTACTTGGCCGGTGACTGGCAAAGTTCAGGGAGAGACCCCAGGTGGCCTGTCCTGCCCAGGCCTCTTGTCCCACGGCCTGGCCTCAGGCCCCACGCCTGTGAGATAAAGTGGATGGACTAGAGACTGGTCTCTCTGATCCCGCCTGTGGCTCAGTCTTGAGTTTCCTATGTCTACCAATTATCAGACACTGTAGTGTGTCTAGTGTCATATCAAATCAACCCTTTAAGCTCAGGGATGAAGCTATAAACTAAGGGAGGTCCCATTTACCGAGTCACTCACATGGATTCCTTAACTTAACAGAAAGAGAGTTCTCCCCTTTGAGGTCCTATTCCTAAAGAGTAAACCCAAGATGATTTCATGTCATTATCTCTCTCAGACTTCCTCCAACCAGTCTCTGGCTTCTATTCTGTTCATTTTCATTAACAGTCTCCATTAAGCTTTATTGAGCCAGATGACTAGAGAATATATCTCAATGTGATTATGGGTTAATACATGAAAGGAACAATTTAGAGATACCAAATTTCTAAACTGTACTCTTCACTTCTTCAATTATATTGAGAAACTAGATGTTTCGTTATATTTCTAACATGCATATGTATGAAAAAAAACCAAATTGGAAAACATAGGCATAAAACATTGTTCTTATTTAAAAATAAACATTTCCTTCATTAGTTTATACATTCTTTCTATGTCCAGGAAAAAGAATACAGTTTTGATCTTCAGTAATATTCCTGTCCATAAAGGGGCAAACCGAGTCCCATTTTCACTGCTATCCAATCATGGAGAGCTCTTCAAGGACATCTTTTTTTATCTTCAGCAGGAAGGTTGTGCCTCCCTCAATTTTGGAAATGATCCATTATCCTAATAGAGGGCTTTACTTAGCTCAGCTAGTTTCAGCTGCCACAGGAAGTATTTAAAGTCAGAAGGAAGACTGAACGATTCAGACTTTTCCTCCGCTGCCTTTCAAAGGCTGCTCTCACATTTCTGGGGTCAAAGCTTGACCTCCAAAGTGCAGAGTTTTGCAGGCTGTTGTTGCTGCTCAACTTTCTTTTTTTTTCCCCCTTAAAGTGCAAACGTGAGGAAGAAGAAACAAAAGTACTAGACAGAGAAACAAACAAATGAGCTTGGAATTTTATTTGTACAAATCTGATCAATTAAGAGTTTCCCCTTCTGATCATGGAAAATGGCACTCAAGGAAGAGAACCACAATGGGTTTCTCTGTGCCCACCACTTTTCAAAAGGGCAATTTTATAAAATTGCTTTCTATGTAAGGAAAAAAAAAAATACACTTCAACAAGTAAGGACATATACAGAGGGTGACCATGAGGCATGTTGTCATGTCAGTGCAGGGTCCTTTATTTATTTTATGAACAATATTCTAAGGTTAGTGAGGAACTATGCTTTGTTTTTTTAATCTAGGAAGCCAAGGAAAACCAACTGAGCATATTTCATTGGCTGCATCCTTCAATTCAAACATCAGAGAGAAAGAAAGGTAAGTAGCCAGAATCAAATTGTGCCTAGCTTGTCAGCACACTTATTTCTGATTATCTGAAAATAAACAACATGCTTATTCTACACAAAGACAGAGGACCTGCTGAAAGCGTATAGCAACACACAAGTCTACTCAAAATGATTCCATATGTTACACTGTAGGATTGCTGTGTAGTTAACACAAGGGAAAGAGATCAAAACCCTGTACAGACACCTGATATCAGACTTGAAACGCCAAGTGGAAACAGAACTATTCAGCGTCTTCATTTATACACAATTTACAATATTTGATTCAAAATAAAAATCACAAGAAAAATACATCTGTTTCTGCTACAATTCCTTCCCCTCCCCCATCCACCCCCCAGTGAAAAGTCTTCTAATAAAAGGTATCATATTACCACCATTGTCTTGTTTTGGTCTAATTCTGAGATCCCGGCTCAGGACAGTTAACATGAAAAGGAATGGCAATACTTGGGTTTTATATAATGTACACATTTTATCCAAGGATCTCAAGTACTTGCAGTCACGTCTCCAGATCTGAGAAATCACGGTTCAATGGGAGCCAGAATGCTGGATGAATGCTGGGCAGGTTGCATGGGGTGTAAAATCCCTTGGCTAAGTCTATGAATCAAACAAGGTCAAAGCTGGTTGGCTAGAGCTGGGCTCAATTTCTCTTTTCAAACATATCCCATCCGTCAGTCAGTTTTACCCTCTCTTAAGTCACACACCCATCTCTAGGCTACAGCCTAGAGTTAAGACCAACTGAAGAAGCCATGTCCTCATGATAATGCAGCAGCATAAAAAGCAAAAACAGAGAAACACATTCATCAGCATCTGGCCAAAGGAGACAGGGGCTGGGAGGATTGGTTTGGGAGGCCATTCCTAGCGAGAATGAGACAAAGGTGTCAATTCACTAGTTTCAGTTACAATTAAGCTTTGGGTGGAGTTGATTCCAGCAGAGGTGAAGCTCATGGCATCTAGCGCTTGATTTAAGATAATGCTATTGAAGAAGGGTAATGAGAAAAACACAGCAAACTAATAGGGAGGAACTGGCCAAGGAATATCTGGAGGGCCAAAGTGATTTTCTTTCCTTATCATTTCTACAGGAGAAGGCAAGGGATAGGAGATAAGGGCTAGAGGGCCCCTTATTAGCAGATTTTTTAAAAAATCATTTCTCTTATAACTCCGTAATGAAAACGTTTATTACGGTGTGAAGGTTACAGAACTGCATCTGCTACTGGGTCACGGCTACAGGTCTATGAGCTGATCCACCAGCAGTAAAGACCTGGCTAGGTTGGGAAGACTGGACTCAGAGCTCCCACTGCTGTTTCTAGAGTGCCCACCTGGAAGTGGAGAGATAGGAATTCAGTACAAAACACAGAGGGTTAAGGTTTAGATGTGCAGAGCAAGCAAAGGAGAAAAAAACAAAAACCAAACCAAACCCTAGAGAAGCAACAATTTACATTTGCAAACTCTTACATGTTGATTTTTAAACATACAAGTTAGGTATCCACCACCTCCCACCAAAACTTCAGGCACACCATACTAGAGGCAGAACGCCTTGCAAAGAGGATGCTATTTTCAAACGAGTATATATTTTGCCTGGGAACCGCTGGCTGGACCCTAACTTCCTCATCACATCGAATCATCTCCCTGACAAAGTAAAAACCAATAGTTTTTGCTTTGGGAAGAAATTAGTTTCGAAGACCACTGCAATAGAAACATGCTTTAAGAAGTATATAGACGGTCCCATGGCAATTCGGTGTCTCATGGCACATTCAAATGATTTTAATCCATCAAAGAGGAAAAAGGATGCTTCACAAATGTCCAAAAGATGCAAACGGTATCAAAGCACCATACTTAATCTCTTGGGGAAGAATATTTATTACAGATGATTCTGATCATGCTAAAAAACGTTCAGAGCTTTTTAAAAAATATATGCCTTGCGGTTTCCACGAAGTTTCCACTTTATTTTTGGCTTGATACTTTGTAAAAACCAGGTTTTAGTCAAAGTATTAAATACTTTTCCTCCCTCTAAATAAACATCACAGTCAAGCTTTAAGATAACTATATCTCCATCTGTATACAGGTGTATCTCTATCTTATCCTGGGCCAGCCCCAAGGACTGTCATTTTCCCCAGTTTCCTTCATCAAGGGTGGATGCTTTTTCCCGTCTCGGGGATCAGGCGCACCACTACTTTGTGCTGAGCTGTGATGTCAAGCTCTCCTCTTTTCCCCACCCTCTCTTTCTTACCTTGTGGGTTTTTGGTTATCAATACAGGAATAGGGTCAAATTCATCTTCTGCCACCTTGTCCGAGCCCTCAGGGACATCAAAACCTGAGATGAGATTACTATCTTCTGCAGCTTAATACAGAACGCAAGTACACAAGCAGAAACAACAGAGGGAGAGATTAGCAAATGAGAGAACACGTAAGAGGCACAAAGTTCCCAACTATACAATCACTGTTGTTTTTGAAGGTGAAAATGCTTATTTCCATGACTTGAAATAAAAGTAGCAAAACTGGAAAATAGGGAAGACAGAAAGAAAAAAAAAACGGTTTCGAGCTGGCCCTGTTAAAGAGTTTCATAAATGATTAGGGAGAAGGGTCAGAGGATGAATTCTCTCTGCCATTTGAAGACCATTAATTGTAGTTATTGTGAGGTATCTCTTCAGCGTCAGTAATTCACAAAGGCACAGGAATTAGTCATTTATCTTCCTTATTGAGCAAACAGAAGCGTAACAAACAATACTCAAGACACTCAAAGCCAGGGGCAGGTGGGAGGTAATTAGAAGCTCTTTAAGAAGGAACTGCTATATACACTATATGTTAATTAACTGAATTTAAATAAAAAAAAAAGCAGCTGCTGCTTTTGTGTACAAGGCAAACAAAATACTTCTGAAAGGACCTGCTGTCCTGTGATTGGGAAAAAAGACTTTCCATCAACTCTGATACCTCAGGGAATGTTGGGGCCCAAGATCACACGCCCTGAGATTTCAAGCAGAAGTTTGTTAGAAATAGTGTCCTCCATTCTGATTAAGATTACCCTACGGGCAAGTGCTAGCTGAGCACCTATTTTGCAAGTGATGCTTCTCTGTAATTACATATTGCTGCTGACACACTCCTGCCAGATGTAATTGGTTAAACACACACTCCATAAAAACATAATCATTTTAATGCCATCAAGGGTAAAAACAATAACTCAGCTATTACCACCGCAAACCATAAACTAATTATTTTTAGACATCTTGGGGAGGCTTCCTTCTTGAATTTCTTTCAGAATAAACGTACACTGTTCGTTTTCTATATATTTGCTCCTTCCAGAAAACCAATGTCACCACCCCACTACAGAAAGTTTAGTGAATGCCTGCATCCAGTAAGCCAGGCACTGTGTCAGTCACTTTCACAAACAGCTCACTGAAGAGAACTCAGTTAATTCAAGCTACTTCTGTCCAAACAGCATTTCAAACAGGTATTAACCCAGGACTAAGAAATGAAAATGGTAGATGAGAAAGAGAAATCCACTAATCAATCATGACTCTAAGCTTAGAATTCTAAGTTCAATCTTTGAAGACTGACTTTTGAGGACTTATGCCTGCTTTTTTATTGTAGCCATCATTACCCAAAAACTTTAAATCAGATTTGATGCAACAATTTTAAGGTCAAAGGCCAACAGTATCATATTAATAACAGTCGGTCAGTGGATAGTCAACTTGAGGGGACTGCAAAGGTATAGAGCTCCGCCTTGAATGGGGAACGCGGAACATCTGCAGTCCTCATGACTGCCGGGAAGCGGTGGCTCCACCCATCTGTTGTCTAAGCCTTTATCAGGCACTCTTGCCGAGAGGGATTAGAACATAGTGGATTAGAGTACCAACTCGAGTTTTCCATATGAAGGAGGGGACGAAAACACTTCACTGGCAAAGACTTTCCATAAGGAAAATTCTCAGGGGTCATTCAGTTCTCCTTGAAGGACACATGGGAGCCGAGGACAGGAAAGCATTTACCTTTATGGGCTGGAGCAGAGATCGCTATGGGGGCAAACTCTTCCAGAAGGTCAGTAGTAGGGTTAGAAAGCAGGGAGCAATCAATCAGGGAATCTTCCCCGGTGAGAGAATCTGAGTCCAGATTGACAGCATCCCAGGTCGGTGATGGCATTAAATGGCACACACAATATCATGAGATTAGAGCTTAGCCTTGAAGTTACTGCATTTACATGTCATATGTACAAGCCAAGGCGAAAGAAAGAAAACCACAAGTAATATCTTAAGCCCCCCGGCATTTTCATCAATAATAGAAACATGTATTTCTAGATTCCTCTTAACATGAACATATAAATATGGAATAATTCTTTGCTCAGAGGGTGCTGGGTCAGCAAATCTGTGATCTGGATGCCAATAAAACTTTAGCAACTCAGTTCTCAGCAAATGCCACTTGGGAAAAAGGACTCTGCCACTAAAGAGTTTCATTTAAACTTTCCCTAAATGTTTGGGAGGAAAGGTACAATAGGATGAGGTATCTAAGTTGACCAGGAGGGGGTTGTCCCTGGCTTATTATTAACAGAATATGACACGATTAAACAGGATTTTCTAGAACTCAACCGGACCCCCATTCAAAATAAAATGATCTTGCTACTAACTAGTCTTCTTTAAATTTGAATTGCTCCTCTGAATATATGATTTTACTTTTAGGTAAGGCACAGATGGAAGACAAAATGCAGAGTTCAAGCATTTTCACATACAAATTGTTCTCTGGGAAAGTTTTAGAAAAGTCAAGTAAGCACAAGGGAAAGGAACCATCCTGTCTTCTATGTTCATTTCCCCCCCCAACTCCTTGAGTTTATTTTTGTAGTTCCCAGACTTCTAATTGTTTTCTGTTCCAAGGTAGGAAATCAGACACTTTTACCAAGGTAACTATGGACTCAATAAAAATGCAGGTTATCAGCGCTGGATTTATGGACAGTTAAGGAATTCTATTAACAGTGAAGTTTGAAATTAGGGTAAAAACAATGCTGGACCAGGGCAGATTTCAACTCTGCTTACAATTTAACAGCAAATCACCTATATAGGCTAAAAGCACTGTGCTGGGAATAGAATGTCAACATCCAGAGCATGAGCTCCACGAAGTTACTGACACCACTGGGTGGAAAGACGGCTCAGAAACCTTGGAGGAGTTAAGGTCATCCTTGCAGCTCAGCAGAGTTCTTTAGGGAAGGAGGTGGAGGGAACCTGCCACCAGTGATAAGAATCTTGAATAACGAAATACCATAACCAGAGAAATTCCAAGTACCACTCTACAGAGAACATGGCTCCAAAAAGTACTCTGCTCTTCAGCATGGAATGGTATCACTAAACATCTAGAAGCTGGGGCTGTACCTATATGAAGCATCCATTCTAGGGGCAACTGACCAGGCTGCAAAAGAAGCCCAGGGTCACCTCCTGCAGGTGGAAAGGCTGACTGTGAGGTCCACCACAATGAACGGTCCCCGCAGCTACAGAGAGACCTGACTGACCTGTGCGGTTCGAGGTCACAGATTCCGTCTGAGATGGAAGGCGCTGGGGCACTGGGGGCTCCAGTCCTGGTATGAGACTCTCAACAGCAACATCAGCTTTTTCTTTTGTAACAGAGCATTAAGAAAGGAGAACAAAGGGTAAGGGAAAAGGAGTCAAAAGGTTCTTTAGACAATTCCGTGAAGGCTTTCTTCTACAGGGCTCTAAAATGCTAGTCTCGGGCAAGATGGGCAGCACAAGAAGTTACTTTATTTCTGCTGCTTTGAGTGCCTGGGCTTCACTGACTGAGCATGCACGTGCAAGGTTAACCGCTATGACGTGTCTTGGTGAGTCTCAGTTTTTCTAGATAAATGTAGAACACGAGCCACTCAGCAGATTTCTTCCATGTCAGAAGACATAGGCTGAAAGGCACTCTAATATCTTATGGTGATTTTGCTTTTCTTAAGGGATAAACCTGGGGGCACACATCCTCTGTGCCTCGCAAAGGCCACTAGTCCATTTCAAATCCCACCCCCTGATGTAGCTGGGAGGTCTTCTGCACTGTCTCACATGCTGCAGCTGAAGACCCATCTCTCTCGAGGCTCATGGCCTTCCTGAGTTCGTGGACTATGTGCCCTGGGTTCACAGAGGCCCTGGACATCTTGTATGTCTTGCCTGCCTTGCTGTAGCAGCACAGGGCAATATCAGACTGAGCAGACCAAGCCCCTACCTGGATTCTACTCATGGGGCTTCAACACTGGGCAAGTGTTTCCTGTTATGGATACCCGGCACAAACAGGGGTCTTCTAAAGAAGAATCTGCTCAAGGTAAGGTCCTGGCTTGAAACCAACTTCCTTCATGAAGATTTTGTAATGAACAGTGAATTTTTCCGTTCCTCCTCATTCATAAAAAGTCCCTCTAGAAATCTCAGGCTATCAAGCCAAGCAAAAATAACAGTGTGGTGCCCCTGGAAGGCAGAGAAAACACTTCCTTTGGGGTGATAGTAAATACGATTAAAGGAGGCTTTGTGGCATTTTCCACTCCTCAGCAGGGCTATTCACTAGGGATCTGTTAACCAGTTAGTTATCATTCTTGAAACAGACACATACATCATGCAGGACTGAAGAAACAGAGATGACGACTTTACCAATTATAGCATCGGACGTGCTACCAAAAGGGTCTGTCATAGGCAAGAGGTCAGGGAGCAGGAGAGAAGTGTCAGGAGATTTGAGTCCCTCAATTAGTTTTTCTAGGTTGGGCAGAGAGGTAAAGAGAAAGCAAAAATGCAGTGAGATATTAAAACAAGTTGATCATTTACCATTTTCTATGCAACCACATTTTGGGGTCAAACTTTTGTATTGATTCATCATAAAAACAAATACTATTTGTATCTTTTACCGTTGATTAAAAATAAGCTCTCAAAGTTCAAAATTTAAAAGTGATTATTTCTCTGGTTGAAGCAGTCACTTTGTAAGTCATTCAAGACACTGCCTTAAGTTTGTTTGTTTTAAAATTTGAGGTATAAATATTTAACCCAAAAAAAAACTGATTTGAAGGGATACATGCACCCTGATGTTTATAGCAGCATTATCAACAGCCAAATTATGGAAAGAGCCCAAATGACCATCAACTGATGAATGGATAAAGAAGATGTGGTCTATACATATGTACACAATGGAATATCACTCAGCCATCAAAACGAAATCTTACTATTTGCAACAACATGGATGGATGTAGAGGGTATTAGGCTAAGTGAAATAAATCAGTCAGAGAAAGACAAACACCCTATGATTTCACTCGTGGAATTTAAGAAACAAAACAGATGAATATGGGGGGTGGGAAGAGAGAGAGGCAAACCATAAAACAGACTCTTAACTATAGAGAACTGAGGGTTGCTGGAGGGGAGGAGGTGGGTAGAGGGATGGGCTAAATGGGTGCTGGGCATTAAGGAGGACACCTGTCGTGATGAGCCCTAGGTATTGTATGTAAGTGATGAATCCCTAAATTCTACACCTGAAACTAATATTAGACTGTCTGTTAACTAACTGGAATTTAAACAAAAACCTGAAAAAAAAATTTGAGGTACAATGTATACTGAATAAAAGTCACCAATTTCAAGTGTACAATTTGCTGAGTTTTGACAAACGTGCACATTCATGTAAGCACCACTGAAATGATGTAGAACGTTTCCATTACCACCAAAATTACCCTTGTGCCTTATTCTAGTCGGTGCCTTCCTGTTACCCCCAGACCCAGGCAACAACTGATCTGCTTTCTGTCCCTACAGCTTTGCCTTTTCTAGAATTTCCTATAAATGGAACCATACAGTATGTAGTCTGTTCTGTCTGATGTCTTTCATTGAGCATAAGGCTTTTGAGACCCCTCCCTGTCGTGGCATGTTATCAGTAGTTTGTTCTGTTTTATTGCTGTGTGGTGTTCCATGGTATGAATGTACCACATTTTGTTGACTCATTCACCAGTTGATAGACATTTGGTTGTTTCCAGTTTTTAGCTATTAAAATAAAGCTGCCATAAACAAAGGCATTTAAGTCTTTATGCATTCATACCCCTTCCTGGGCTTAGTTTTGAAAAAAATTTTTGGACTTGCATTTAGAAATGCTGTGTAACTCAGCAAGTGAATCAAAATATGCCTATGTTAACTTCAACCATCATTTATTGTCTGCCAACTGAGAGCCTGTGACAAGCTGGTACCCTTATCATTCTGTGGTCAAATCTCATGAAATGCACTTATACCTGAAGATGGATTACTTTTGATGCCTTTTGGCTAGGAAACAAAAGGATATAAGAAGCCACCAGATTTGTCACACCTGATAACTTAATGTGTGGTAAGTGCACACATTAAGATTTCTTCATGATTTTTTCAGCCTTGATCCATCAACAACTCTCTATTTATCTTCAACTTATGAAAGGTAGAGAGCATTACTTGAAACAAAATCCTGAATCATAGAATCTTACAGAAAGAAGGGAATTAAGAGCTCAACCTCCTTTTACTTACAAGGAGGTTGAAGCCGCATAAATTCTGTAACTTGCCCAGTTAAAGCCTGTCGACATTTTTTTTCTGTCACAGAAATACATGCCATTAAGATAAAACTAAAATGAAAGTGTTTGAGAAAAAGAAGTGACTTCAAGTTCAAGTCTGTGTATAGAACATTTTAATGAATCTGCATTCTTCTAGGCCATCAGGAATCAAGATAAGTAAAGATGAAACTGGTATTTGTTGAAGGACTGAAACCAAATTTTAGGTGATGTGTAATTTAAAGTGATCTATAACTACACAGATGAAACAAAATAATGGATTTTAGTGTCTTGGCAAGATAATTTGCTTACTGCAGAAAAAGATTTTTACACGTAAAATCAATTTACCATCTTTGCAGTATATGGTATGTAGATATCTTGGAGTTAAATGACAATCTGCTAACTTTTTCTCATTTACACTTGATACTTCCATTGAAGAAAGGAAGAAAGAAGAAAAGAAGCTTCTCAACAGCAGGGGGGAAAAAAGCCCAGAATACTAACCAAATATACAAGTGTAATCACATCAGAATTAATCCTGCATCGTGCATAACATTTTATTAGCAGAAAAGATGCTAAAAATATGTGACAATTTTTAGCATACCGGCAAAAATAAGATGGCTTTCTCGAAAAGTCTAATTTTTCATTATGCTGAACACTAGCTTTTGTTTTATTCCCAAAAAGAGCTTCTTTCACGTACAGGAAAGTAATTATTTGCTTCTTCCACTTTTAGCACTCATACATTTGCAATCTTACGAAGGAATGGATAAATAGTAATGACCCCACATTACGTGCTTATCTTTCATACCATAGTTCATCTCGGTGCAAAACCTTAAGCTAGCCAAATGCAGAGTCCCGAATTCTAGCCTCTCCAGTGACCGGCTACAACCATGGGGTCGGTCCTTAAACTTCTGCCTTCACCTCCTCAACTGTACAGAGGAGATACCTCCCACCACCTTTTTGTATAGGTCACTCAAGTATCATCTCCTCTACTCCTTTCCCCATCCTCCCTGCCACACTGGGAACCTCCTGGAGCACTCTGCACTCACTTCTCTTGCAGCCTTTACAACAGGACAAGGTATCTTCTTAATCTCGGTATCCCCAGTTCTCGGTTTCCTCTCATACCGTATGTCACATCTCTGCTTCATTGGGGAGGTGGGGAGGAAGAGGAGATCAACTGGAAAGTCAGGTAACTTTAGCAAGAATCTAATATTTTTATTAGCCATTCGCAAAAAAGATAATGTGAGGGGTACAAAAAATACGTGTGTGCATGCGAGTGTTGTGTGGTGAGACAGAACAGGGTGGGGATAGGGTAAGTCGCCAAATTTAGGGGGCTCATCTTCTGACTGAACCTCAAGTAACAGACTATTCACACAGATAATCTGTGTGGTCACTGCTGCTTGAGAATCGTCGACTACTGAAATGTGGGAGGGAGGAGCAGGGACAGGGCAGGAGCAGACAGAACTAGGAGTGAGAGCACAGAGCCAGGGTATAAGGAAGGTGGACGGCGTGGGCAACACCACCCTGCCACTCCCAGCATTCTCGAGATGACAGAAACTCTCAGCGACTCAGTGCGGGTGCCCAGGTGCCGTTGTAACTACAGTCATCACTGCCACTTGCAAAGTTTAATGTCAAACATTTTCCTTCATTATTCACAAAAAGACCTGGGTTTGGGAATACTGATAAGAGTTGAGAAGAATGGAGACAGACTGTGTGACTTGCCCAAAGTCACAGAGGGGACATGGTAGAGCATGGACTTGACTTCACAGTTTCCCCCACATGCTGCCTATAGGGTCTGCCTATGTCCATCAACATAGGAGAATAGGTTTTCACACAGACATGGCCCCAAGCACAAAGGCCAAATTAGCAAAGACATGCTGGCCCTGGAAGGAACCTCAGATCTTACTCAGTTAGCCTTCTCACTTACAGATGAAGAAACCAGCTCCAGAAAGGTAAAGTCACCTGCCTGAGAGCTTACAGCAGGTAAGCCACAGAGCTAACTAGGACTATGACCCAGACCATCTACACACTAGAGATTCAGTCTTCTGGTTGAACTAAGGCTTTGGTTGCTTTAAAAAGTAAAGGCTCTTAGAGGAAGTCACATCTCAAGCTATTATTGCTCATTTTTGATCACTATAAATGAAGAACCTGAGAACAGGATATAATGGGAGGCACAAGGGTGGCCTGCAGGCCTCACATGTGCATCAAGGGCTGGCCTTGATATCACCCGTGTTAGGAATTCTATCTGCCCTCTTATAGTTATGTAAAGACACTCTGAGACCATGTGTCATGAAGGGGGTGGGCGGGGAACAGCGGTGCAGAGAAGAGGACGGTGAATTTAGGAACATGTGCAGAAAGTGTTCTTTAATATCCCAAACCTCAACCAAGTTCTCCCTGGGCATTTCACGATTTGTTGATATCTAATGAAGCCACAGACGCCTGAGATTACAGTAGTGAGAATGTGCGGAGTTCCAGGTTTTACCCACATGCCTTGGTATGAGATCAGAAAAAGGAGAATTCCTTGAATAAAGTGAAATGTGAGAGGAGGCAGCGTGGTCTAACAGAAAGAAATCACCAGTCGGACGCCCAACTGACTGAGCCACCCTGGCGCCTCCTCAAATAATTTTTTTAGAAAAGGAAAGAGAACATAAACTAGCAGGATCTGAGTGTGTCCGCTTCCTTAGACATTCGTCAAGCATGAGGTGGTGGGGTTTTCCCTCTTTCCAAGCTGATGGCAGAGGCTGCGACATCTCATTGTTTGATAAAGGGCTCTTCTTGAATTCATCATCATGATGGACTTTTACAAAATATATATTTAATGGCAATTTATATCTCTTCTTTTAGAATTGTCTGCTCCTATTTTCCTCTTTGTGGTATTTTCTTAGCATATCCCCGTTACCATACTCAGTTCTTTCTCAAGTCTCTAGGGTTCCCAAATAAAAATGAGTCTGGTTAAGAGCACGGAAAAGTGCTGAAATCACGGTGAGAGGACTGAGAAGGTGGGCCCCCGGAACAAAGTGGATGCAGAAGGAGTCAGCCTGGGCACTGGAGACAGAGAGTGCATGTAAAGGAGAGGACTGGGGCGCCTGGGTGGCTCAGTCTGTTATGCGTCTGCCTTCGGCTCAGGTCATGATCCCGGGGTCCTTGGATCGAGTGCCTCATTGGGCTTCCGGCTCAGCGGGGAGTCTGCTTCTCCCTCAGTCCCTCACCCCACTC